GCTATTAATGTTAATGTTTTAATTTAAAATGCAAATGATACAGTGAGTGAGTAATAGATTGATACCAAATATTAGTCCACATCTGCAAAGAACAGATACCTCAAATGTCCTCCTTTGGTGAAACGGTCAAACACAACAGCATATAAATGGCCCAAAGAAAACAAAAAAGGCATTTAACCTTCTTCTGTCTCACCTTGTTCAATACGTGTGGCCAGATATAACATTTCTCCCTGAGCAGCCAGCTGATGAACAGATAACGCTGCAAAAAAAGGAAGCAAAAGCCATGCTACATACAGCAGTTTTAATTCTGCGCTGTTTAGAGCTGAGCATAACATGTCCATTGGCTTCAGCAGTACAGAACTTGGAATCAAGAGTGTAGATGATTCTACCTTAGGCTCTGAACTTAAATCACAATTAAACCACTGAAAATTTTCTGAAGAGTTTAGTAGATTTAGGTAATTTTTAAAGCAATGGAGCAGTTATTCTTGAAAGCAAGGATACTTCCCACACTGACTCTTTATAAAGTAACATGCTGTCTTCACTGCTGTTTGGTCAGCAACCCAAGATTACTTTAAGACCCATTTATTAAGTGAAAATAAACACATTTTGATAGATTAAGGAAGTTTAATTTAAAAATCGCACTTGAATCACTAGAAGATCTGTCCCGCTAGTCAACAAATGAAGTCTCTAGTGTGTCTCCCACTCCCTACAATGTGGAATAGATCAGACATTACAAAACTATACATAACTTGATATATAGAGGAGAAAACAAAGATTGCGGGATTTGTTATTGCAGAGATTATGCAGAAATAACCTCCAATCCCACAGAAAACTACATGGATGCATGGTTTTGATGACTGCAACTTGGAGCAGTCCTGAAAGGTAATCAGGAGGCTAAATGTAATAAATTATCCACATGATGTAGTAACAAAATTAACTAATGATTACATTAACTGTAAATGTTCACTGTCCTCCTCCAAGTAACCACATGAAAGTTGAGTTTGTTCAGGAAGATGGTGTATTTTGTTCAGCAGCCTATACTGCAGCTCCCGATTAATTTTTTTCATGCAAGTAGCATTTTTCTTTAAAAAAGAGTGACTTGTAATTTATAGAGAAAATGATTTACTACAAAGTAAATTACAGCAAATTAATTAAAAAAGGCAATGCTTGAAAATTCAGAAAAAAGTCCCACCAGAAGTAATGCTTCCTTGATTTTCAAGATCTGTGACAATCATGACACAGTATTCTATATTTACATTACATCTTAAGTATCCTGCAGCATTTACCAATCACCTAGTTTTAAGATGCACAAGTTCTGAAAACATGGGCATGACGTACATGAACTTCTAATTTTTGATTTAAAAAGTATAGGTAAGGCTTCCTCTGGTTTTTTTTCCCATCTGGAAAATAAACGTCAGGCATGAATTCCATACAACAGGTGGATGACTATTTTATGGCTGGACCCATGTGAAATTATCCATGTGAAATTACATGGGCAGGTACAACTCAAATAAATGAGAGGGGAAATGAGTCTCCATCTTTTTGCTGAGGAGGACAGGATGAGAGGAAAGACTATCTCAGTGTTTTTTTCCTATCTTTAAGTTCATTGCAACAACAAACAAAAAACCGCACAAATTTGTCACGCATCCAAAATATAGTTCACAAAACAATTAACAGAAAGGCAGAAAGATACTTACAGTTTACAAGTAGAGGTGTTGTAGAGACTTCATTTCCCCTGTGTTTGTTAGTTAGTGTAGTTGATTGTTTTATTGGTGAGAAATGCTTAGTAGTTGATGGAGTATAAACATGTCTTACTTGGATACCAGGGGAAGGAGAAGTGTGGCTGTTGCATTCAGCTACATTGAACAAAAAACAGAGAGGATTTCAGTACTAATAAGAGCATTAAAAGCAAGCCATAGATTCTAAGTGAAACTGTAAAGCACTGTAAAGTATCACAAGACCTTTAAAATCCATGTAAGAAAGCTTTGTGACATGTGCTTTTCCCTCTGTGTACTGTGAAAGCTGAATAAAGGCCTGCATTAGTTTCTAGCATAAAACAATTACGCTACTTCATAAGTTCAGTACAGCATAATTTCACCCAGAGACAAGTTAGTATCTAAATGAGGGAAGCCTTTGTCTTGATTTTTCAACATGCCTGGCATGGATTTATTACGTAAGAAGGTTCTAGTTGTCATCTTCTCATAAACACTCTCCAAGGCAATAATGTGATGCAGCTCTGGTCAGACCTGCACTCAGGTACCTGCTCAGCCTTTGCCTGCTCCCTAACCAGTCCACTGCACGAGTGGAGACAACATTCATTAACTTCTTCACCAGGGCTCTTCCCACTCCTGGATAAAATTTAACAGCATTATAAATGCCTGATGAATACTTATCCAGGAGAAGGACAGCACCCACATGAACATACATAAAATACAACAGCAGGTCACTGCTCAGAGTTCAGGAAGTCGTTCACTACTGATGTGTTCCTTCATACTCACTTTTCTTGCTTTCTCCTACAAGCTAATGGCATTTTTTTACAGAATATATTTATCATGTTGTTTTGGCTTTTAATTCTCAGAAGTAGCTTTTGGTTTTGAGATTAGATTCTTAAAAGACATATTGAAGGATTAAACTCCATATTGGCTTAACTGATTTGACACCAGTAATTAATGAGTAGAAACTAATTAACACACACACTGAAGTAACACCATAAAGAACTCTGTGATCATAAATACAAGCACAAATTCAGGGAGACTAAAAGAAGTAGAGTGTAACAGGAAACAAAATTATGTTTTGTTTGCCAATCAAACAGCTACAACTGACTGTAAAGAATTAAGAGTCCTACCACAGATTTTGACCTGTGGTCCCTGGATTTGCAGGACTACTTCTAAGGGACTTAAAAACATTACCTAAGAAAAACTACCCAGGTGCTGATGGGTGTAAATCTGCCACTCAGACCTGCAGCTCTGTTACTGAGCACTTGGGGCAAAATCAAAAATGTTTGAAAACTATAGTGCCTGAAATGCAGCCAAACAACGCAAGTCAGTGAAACCATCAAAATTCAAGGGAGGCCTGTACTTGCATTTGTCACAGGCAATAGGTCACATGGACTTCAGGGAGAGATACACCATGAACAGTCTGAAAATGACAGCAAATGCTGGAAACCACAACAGGTAAGGGGAAGTAGATGGCAGTGCTAATTTTGCCCTGTATCAATACCCTGAGCTGTGAAAAAGCTCAGTATTTAGACTCAGTGACTCATTCATGTGATGAAACTGCCCAGCAGTGGCAGGATTAGCTGCAGGGATCCTGCCCTGGAGCAGCATTTGCTTTCCAGCAGCAGTGCAGCTACAGTGGCAAGCCCATGGCTAGGACCAGAGGCTCTGTACAGCCACAGTGACAAAACACACCTGCCCCGTGCAGTCTTTCATCACCCTCATGAAAAGATACAACGTGCTGCTGAAAGTTACTGAAGTGCTCATAAAGTGCTTTCAGCAGTGTTTTTTGAAGAAGCATACTGCTGCAGGACATACCATACAGAAGCAGCTTCTTTTCCTAAGCATCAGCTCTGACTACCTTCAAAAACTTTTTGTGCCCCTGATTCTTCAGTTTATATATATATTCGAAATGTAGCATAAAAATTAATTTTGGAGCAAATTTTTATATTAATAATCCATTAAACATATTAAAAAAACGTTAGAGGAACACATTTTAGAAAACAGATCAATGCACATATAGCACAGAAACTCTTCTTTCAGAGAGCATAATAACTTAGCAGGATGACACAGTACACAGATAATATTTTGTACCATAAATTCAACCTTTAAATAAGACAGATGCGACTTCAAGGTCAGAGTTGACTTGATCTTGAATATTTTTACTGTCCTCCTCATTCAAAGACTTCACAAATCGTGAGCAGACATTCATATCAAATCTATTGGGCAAAATGAATTTCATCCCCATGGTGACGCTCTGAGCCGGGCCCTCCTCTGTGCTGGCATCAAGCTGATGCTCCACTTTAATGTCTGGCATGGGTGGAAGGCTGTAGCTGGTGGTACATTCTTCCACAATTAACTGGGCCCCGACATCTAAGTTTGTTGAAGATGCCATGATCTCAGTCCTGTTCAAGTTTCATGCAAAATGGTTCTTCATTGTTTCCAGCCAGGAACAATTCTGGCCAGCCAAGCCAAATTTTCTGGACAACCTGCACCTGAACAGACACAACACTGGTTAAGAACATTCTGGTAAAACAATGCATAAAAACATATCAAACTGTATTTAAGCTTATGGTATTTATTTTTGCCAGTCAAAACACTGGTGAAATATCAATCTTAAACAATGCATAAAAATACATCAAACTATATTTGAGCTTATGGCATTTATTTTTGTCAGTTAAAACACCGGTGAAATATCAATGTTGTTGCTGTCAGAAGTTAGTGACCAAAACGCAAATATGTTTCAGCACCTTGATGTTTAAACCAAACTCCGCTATTAAGCCAGCAGGAGTTTCATCCATGTGAAACGATGCTTCAGAATATTTGCCTAGTTGCAACAAAAAAGCCCACACAACAACCAGATTTATACTAAGCCAAGAACAAGCTATAATGACTTTATTTTCCAAAAACATTACACTTTAGGAAAAAGTTAAAGCGACTTTAAGCTCCCATATGTCTTTTGCAACCTGAGTAAAATAAACTGCTTCTATCACATACGTAGGAAAAAAACCAAATCCCGTTAAACCGATAAAGGGAACCCCAGAATACCCGTGGCTTGCTCGCAGTACCGCGGAAAGTCTGGGACACGTCTGGATGCGTCCCCTGTCCCGGGATGCAGCCGGTGAGGACAGGCCGAGAACAGGCCCCACAGCGCCAGGGCCCGGGCCCGGCCTCGCCTCGGCTTTCAGCCGCCGCCGCCGCCACTGCCGGAAGTGCGGTCTCGCCGCCCTGCCGATTGGCCAGCGAGAGGCGCGCTCTGATGACGCACTGCCGGTGCTGCCGCCATCTCTCCTCGCGGCCGGTGCGGCGTGTCGCGTGTGCTCCGAGCCCGCCGCCGCTTCCCGGGCCTCTCCCGCTGAGCTCCGGCCTGCCCCGGCCCGGCCCGGCCCGGCCCTGCGTCATGGCCGCGTACAAGCCAGTGGTGGTTCAGGCGTGCCCCAAGCTCGGGGAGAAGATCACACAGGATACGCTGTACTGGCGGGGATACAAGGTAGGAGGAAGCCCAGCAGTCGCAGTTACTGGCCCAGAATGCCTTCTTTTACTACTTTGGTGCAATGATTTTTTTTTTAAACACGTATGATTTAGTTTTTAAGTTCAGAGCACGTAATTAGAAGGGTAAGTTGTAGTGAGTGAATTGGAAAAAAATTAAAAGAACAGGAGTGGTCTGTCAGAAGTGAAACTCATTATCATTGCACCTAAAAAACGTTTTGATTCTTACGGAGTTTTAAATTCTTTGTAGGAAAAATATCTTTTATTTTGGTGTTTTCATACTTGATTGTGTCCTTATGTGTATTTAACGATCTTTATCACAACTGTTTTAGACCCCTGTTCAGATAAAGGAATTCGGTGCAATAAATAAAATTGACTTCTCCCCAGTCCCGCCATATAACTACGCTGTCACAGCATCCTCGAGGGTAAGTGGCGTTTCGGAGGCTTTTATGCTGTTGTTCTTCAGCTGGCATGACACCGGGAGATGTAATTCCCTCTTGTTCTGGCAGATCCACATCTACGGCCGCTACTCGCAGGAGCCTATCAAGACGTTCTGTCGCTTCCGGGACGCGGCGTACTGTGCCACCTACAGGGACGACGGGCGCCTGCTGGCCGCCGGCAGCGAGGGCGGCAGCATCTCCCTTTACGACGTCAGCGGCAAAGCCCCGCTCAGGCAGTTCGAGGGTCTTACCAAGTAAGGCAGGGCTGTTTTGTTTTGTTTGCATATCCTAAAGCAACCGGGGGGGGTTTCTTAAAGATCGCCGTGTTCCACCCCTCCCGCCACAGGGCAGGAGCGCCTGCTGCTATAGCGCCCAGGCTGCTCAGAGCCCCACCCAGCCTAGCCTTGAACGCTGCCAGGGAAGGGGCATTCCCATCTTCTCTGGGCAACCCACTCGAGTGCCTCAGCAATATTCAGTATTTACATTAAATTATAGTCGTATGTCTGCTTCACATGCTGCTGAAAATCTGAGTAGAACTGATTTATGTCGCTTTTGACTGCCTCGTGGAGATCTTACTGAAAAGTAGATTTAAGTTAAATTTAAAATGGGAGTGTGTTTTTAAAAAAATCTAAATATGAATCAAGTATGTAGAAGAGTAAATACATTTTCACATAGGTCTCTCTTAATATGTTGTGTAGATACTGTCTTGTGGGTACATTGCATTGATAAGCACATCTTATTTGATGCTGGTAGGAAAAGAGTTCTAAAATAAACAGAAACAATGAAGAAATACACCAATAAAAGCAGGAATTCCTTAAAAAGCTCCAAAAACAAAACCAAAGAGGTGCATAATGGTAGCCTGGGGTGAGGAATAAATTAGGGGTTCTGATGTATCAGTGAGGAGAAGACAGTGGTAATGCCTCAACAGACTTCTGTGCTATGAAAAATTGATTAGTGTTTTATCAATGTAGAACAAGAAGAATCCCCCTTTCAGTGGGAAATACCCAGACTGACCTTCAGAGCGTTTCTGTTTGAGGTCTGTTTGCAAATTGGGTGTTCCAATGGCTAGGTTGATTTCATACCTGTGCACACCTGCATTTGCACAGAACACACCTGTGTGTGTTCTGCCAAGACCCGTTGGGTTATTACAGTGATAACAAAGACTTCAGTAGTGATTTTAAAAGGCAAGAAGGTTGTTCAAAGCAGACATACTTGAAATTTGCTGTTATAAAGTGAGGCTTTGCAAGTTCTGATATTAAACACTGTGCTTCTAGGTTGGAGGACTTTAATAAACTCTTCATACAAACTAACTCTTCTTGAAACATGAATATATTTTAACTTTGGGTGTTGTGGACTTTGTTTTCTAGACCAGTTCATCTAGTGGGATTCCTGTCTGATAAATACCGAATATTTTCTGGTGGTGATGATTATTCATCAAAATTGTGGGATATTCCAAGTGCCACAGAAATCATCTCTTACAGTGAGCATACTGACTATGTGAGATGTGGCTGTGCAAGTAAAGTGAATGCAGATGTCTTCATAACAGGTTTGGTTTTGGTTTTTTATTTATACTTATTTTGGATTGAGTCGAAGAAAAATGCTGAAAGATAGTTTTTGATACAGTAGGGTCATGTTTATTGCATTTTAGTCATGAAGGATCAGTCTGCCTGTGCAATACCTACTTTATTGTTTCCTTTTTTTGCTTGCTTTTTAAGCTTGACACTGATGTTCTAGGGGAAACTGCAGGAACTGAGTTTTAACATCTTCATGGTTTAGTCTATTAGAGTTAACAGAACTTGTGAAAGAAAATACTTTGAATGTATCCTTAGTCAGGGAGTGACTGAAATGTTATACCAGGTTTCTGGAGCAGGACTATAGTCTGTACACTAAAAATTGTGAGGTCATGTGGAGTTTCTTGGAACCAGCTGCTTTTGGTTTTCCTAGCAATTGCTTTGTATCAGTCTGTGGAAAACTGTGAAAAAAACTTAGTATTCCTTTTTTCATGAGGCATAAGAAGCTAGGTTTCATCAGGTTGCTTGATATTTATTATTATAAATACATTTCATTCATGGAAGTGAAATGAAATGAAAACAAATTAGTTTTACAACCTGACGTGTAGCTAGGGCTGGAATTAGAAAATTTGTTGCCACAAGGCTATAAACTAACCAAGGTAAGTCACAAGGTGTTTTTACATGTATGATTGAAAACTGTTGCTATTAGCCAGGAACTCCTTTAGATGATAGTACACAGCTGTTTTAGTTCTTGAACTAGTTGAAATTATGAGACTGATTTATGCTGATGTTTGCAGGTTCCTATGATCACACTGTGAAACTGTTTGATGCACGAACAAAGAGTAGTGTCATGACAATAGAGCATGGCCATCCTGTGGAGAGCGTGCTTCTCTTTCCATCTGGTGGACTTCTGGTATCTGCAGGTGATTCCATGAATTAGAATTTATAGAATTAAATCAAATATATTTTCTGTGGTCCTCATTTGAGGAATACTTCAGCTGTTTGCTTTTTGTGTGCTGTTTTAGTTTGATGAATGAAGTGGTAAGTGATGTAATAATTTGATTTCTCAAATATCTTCTGTCAGAATCTGCGTTTATGTGGCAGGTGCAAGTAAGGGTCTTTCCTTTTCGTCTTTGTTTTAATATTCTTGTTGTTTCCACTGCCCCCCTGCCCCCAATATAATTTGTAATGACAAAATGCAGACTAATTGGCCCACTTCTAAAGTGAAGGAATTAACATACTTAGCTTTTGAAAGGATGGGACTGTCTTTCTCATCATGTTGACAAGCTTTTTTAGTCTCTTGTTGCTATTCCATCAGAGGTACCGTAACCCCATAGGTTAAAGATTTTTTGGTTTTTTTTGGTAATGAGTATGATTGGACAATGGTTGAATCATTTAGGTCCATTCAGAATGGCCTGAAAAAAGAGCAGGCTTGTGCCAGAAGATAGAATGGAAGAGGATGGTGAGTAGGTACAGAAAACTGTTAGGAGGTAAAGGTACTTGCGAAGGAAATACAGCATCACTCTGTGAAAACTTCTTCAGAGAAGCATAAATATGTACATGTGTATGTTTTGTGTGCTTCCCCTTCACAGGAGGTCGATATGTCAAAGTTTGGGATGTACTAAAAGGTGGACAGTTACTAGTTTCACTTAAAAATCACCATAAAACTGTGACTTGTTTGTGCCTGAACAGCTCTGGACAAAGGTTATTGTCAGGATCTCTCGACAGGTTGGTATATTTTGTAGCTTCCTTATGGTTCCATTCTTTAGGACCTTTTTTCTTTAAAAAGTATTTTTGCACATCACTGTTAATCTGTTTGCAGTAAAGTGTACTATGATTCTATGATTCAAACTGTACTGTGATTCTATGATACAATTTAACCTTTTCGTCTTACTAAGCTGAATATCATTAGGGATTGTGTGTGCCATTTGGGAATGCATATGGGGAACTTCTGAATAAGGGTTCAGTTTTTTAAATGTCTAAACTGACCTTTCCAGTCTTTGGAACTTAACTATTTTTAACTTTAACACAGTTTAAATATCTGAAAGTGTACTAGTATTCGCTTTTTAAAAGCCTGGGTTTTGTGTCTCGCTGCTTTTGCTTCTTGTATCCAAGAGTGCTTGTGAACATGACCTTTTTGCTTTTTTTCATTTGGTTTCAGTTGATGACTACTGATAGTTGGTGTCTTGTGTCTGAGACATTAGACATTAGAAATAAAAAGGGATGTGAAATGACACTGGATCTGTTTTCCTCCTCTCTCCTGTATTGCCTAGGCTACCTCAGGCTTTACAATTACATAACACTAGCTTTTGTCCTTGGAAGGTAATACTTTGTTTTCCAGTTTGTTAAATATTTCGTGCTTCCAACCAAATACTTAATGGGCAGCTGGATACAAGAGTATCTACAGATTTACTCCCAGATACTGCTAGTAGATCTTGTATTTAAAATTTAAGAACAAATTTGAAGAGATGCTCTCTCAGTGTTTTTCTAATACACTTTTCTGAATTCAAATAATCACTGTGCCTGCCTTCAATTTCTTCTTCTATTCTTGCCCCATTTTCACCTTTTGTGAGGTAAGAGCCCTCCTGACTTGACTTGTGGATACCTTTTAACAGAACATTACTGTGACAGGATTAATACCTACGAAGCTCAATGGTAGTCTGAGGAAAGCATTGTATTAATTCTCAGTTTCCTTGAATGGTCTGTAGAAGATGACAGTGATGAAGTTCCTGTAAAGTGACAACAGTAAATCTCTACTAACAGCTTTTTTATCTTTGCTCTTGTGTGTAGGCATGTGAAGATTTACAGTACTACATCCTACAAAGTGGTCCACAGCTTCAACTATGCAACATCCATCCTCAGTCTTGCATTGTCGGTAAGCGCATTAGAAGTCTTCCTAGACTAGAAGTGAATTCCTGATACCTTTTAAGTCACTAAAATAAAGAATTGTTGCTTTCCTGGCTGTTGGGTATTTCAGAAGAATGGTGTACGTGCAAAGTAGGGTTGAATATGTTTCTCCTGAGTAATAAACACTAACAGTTTTTAAGCATAATAGATTCAAATACCATGTTACCTGACTAGATCAGTGCAATGTCTTGTGTTTATGAATGACAATATACATCATAGGGAAAACATTCACTTTAGAAAGGTGGTCCTTCAACTTCAAGATGATTATACTTACCTTTTGCCTTTCAGGAATGCTGTGAGTCCTTTCGCATGGCAGCAATAAAAAAAAAGTAGTTAATTTGTTGAGAAATTCAGAATAGGATGTAAACTTGCTTTAAAAGTTGGTGTCAGGTTGGTCTGAGGAAGAAAGAAGATGGTTGTGAGCATAAACAAATTTGTTTGTCAAGATGTCTCTTGGAAGCAGACAGCAGAGACTCTTACTTCTCAGAAGCACTTGATTTCCAGTGGATAAGTTATCTGCTGGCCTGAAATTTGGAGGCTGGCACCAATTTTTAAGCAATACTGTTGTCATGTAGTACCCCCTTAGGTAGCCTTTGAAGGACATGTGAATGGGCCAGTGAGGGATCTTTACTGCCTTTGCTAATTGTCCTTCTCTGCTGGAATGTGGAAGGTATGTGTGGGTAGTGTCTTCATTTTGTACTGTATTACCAAGGGAGCTGAGCTATAATAAATTTAGATTTTTTTTTTCTTTTGAAGTGAAGAATCCATAGGCCTTTTAAGACCCTATGGCGTCTGGAAAATATGCAATACCTGTAGTTTAACATCTCTAGAGTTACATCTTTTGAAGTATGATCTTGTTTTCTGTTGACTAAACTGGAATTTTTCTCTTGACTAAATTTGAATTTTAAATGGTCATACAAGAACATTATAATGCCTTTACTGAGTCAAATCAAAGGTGGGTCTGAATCTGCATGCTGCATAAGGAAATGCATATAGAAAACTAAACGCAGAGCAAGTGTGTTGATATTCTCCCAAATTCCATTTTCAGATGAGAAGTTAACTCATCAAAGTGTAGTTTCGTTGTAATTCAGTTAATTACTATTGCATAAGCCTTTCAGTCTCTCCTTGAGCTTGATTAAACTTGAAACCTTGCCTAGATTCCTTGATAAGGAGTTCCACATTTCTGATACTTGTGTGAAGAATTGCTCCCTATTGTTCCACTTGAATCTTCATAACCTTCAGTTGATGCCCTTAAATGAGCCATTCATCAGCTGATCTCCATCTGTTCCTGTCATATTTCTGTAGGCTTTTATTATATCATATAATTGTAGAATGGCTTAGGTTGGAGGGGATATTAAAGGTCATCTAATTTCAGCCCCCTGCCTTGGGCAAGGACACTGCTAGACCAGGTTGCACAAAGTGCCATCCTGTCTGGCCTTGAACGCTTCACGGGATGGGGCATCCACAATTTTTCTGGGTGAAATTTACACCTGCTTCATTATATAAGTGAAATTATGTAAACCAATGACTGGTGTTTTGAACAACTTTCAGTTATTTCTCAAAATCCTGCTGTTCCGTGGTAGCTTTGCTTTCTCATAGGTTCTGTTCATGCCTGCTGTGTGGTACCTAATAGCCAAAGGTAGTTGTATACTGTTGGAAAAAACAAAACCTTATAGTTACAGAAGGGTGTTAATGCATAATTGAGATTGATTCACTAGTCAGTCTGTAATGTTGCTTATGAGCATTGCCTGGAAGCTGTCCCTGCCTTGAACAAAGTATTCAATCATGGAACCTCAAGAAGGTGCATTCCATATTAAGTCATCTATGATACTGTGATGAAACCTTGTAATGAAACATTAAACTATAAAAATGTGTAGCTAGAGCACATACATGCATGGTAGAGCACAGATAAACACTTGGTCCTAACTCTGTGAATTTCTTTGTGCTAGCCTGAAGATGAAACCATAGTTGTAGGCATGACCAATGGGGTGCTAAATGTTAAACACAGAAAACCAGAAGAAAAGAATGAAAACTCTCAAAAGAAGAGACAACCAGCATATAGAACCTATGTGAAAGGAAGAAGTTACATGCCAAAACAGGTATGTGGTAAGAAAATATGTGCTGAAACATTTCTGAAAAATTGGTTTATTTGAATGTGCTAAATTGGAGAAGGGCTATAATATGTAAATATTATATAAAATAATATATAAATATAAATGTATAAAATTTTATTTATATTAAATTTATATATTATATAATTTTATATAATATATAAAATTATTCATGATAAATATGTGTAATCCATTATGTGAGTGTGTGTATTTGTATTACTGTGAACTATTTTTTTGAATTCTAGGAAGATTTCTGTGTCAGTAAACCTGTAAAACGTGTTTTGAGAAAATATGATAAACTGCTGAGGAGCTTTCAGTCTTCCAAGGCTCTTGATGCAGTACTCGAGGTGAGGCATTGGTTTTTCTTCTTGTCGGAGTTTTATGCGTCACCTGATGTTAATTTTCCCTGTCTGTCATACTAATTTTGTTTTTGTGTATAACTAGAAAGGAGTCTTAAGTTGGGTTCTGTTTTGGTTTTGCTGACACCAGTGTTGTGTGTAAAGATGTTGCTTTGCTACTAAACTCTTCTTTTATGTGTCCAGCCACCCATCATGCTTCATACCCCTGAAGTCACGGTTGCAGTCATGCAGGAGCTGCATCGCAGAGGAACGCTGAGAAGTGCACTTGCAGGCCGAGATGAGAAGCAAGTTAATCTCCTGCTTACCTTTGTGGCAAGGTATTATTTTAACATGAGCCCCCTCTGACTATTTTGACACTTCTGTTCCCTAATTACTCACCACAGTTTCAGCAGATCACTGGTAGAACACTGGTACTCCTGAAATCTCACATGCCTTTTCTATTCTGATACCAAGGCTTTGGGATAGGTTTGAAACAGTTCAGCTGTTAGCACAGAATGGTTTTGCTGATGAGCTATTCTACTTCTTTGCCAGACACACTACCCTTAATCTGTTATTTTCTGTCTCCTTGATGAAATTTGTGTTTTTATGTACTCAAGGCTTTTTGACACTCCTCCAGCCTCTGCTGGCTTCCTGAAAGGAAGAGGGTAAATACCACATAGGTGGGGTTTTTTGACTTGCATCTTTGACTGCTGTTCTGTGATGTCTCTTCATCAAGAAAAATTTGTCTGTATGCCTGTGTGAGAAAGCTGCTTGTTGGTGGTGGAGTACAGTTGACAAAACCAGTAAAATAGGAATGTCTTCTGATTTTGCAGGCGTGTGATTGAGCCTAGATTTACTCCTGTGCTGGTTATTGTTGCTGATATGATCACTGGTAAGACAAAACAAAAAAGATTCTCAAAGCCATATAGCTAGCTTGCAAATAAGATTGAAAGTGCTACATTTTTAAGAAACCAAACCTTAATGGCTTTGTTTATATCTGTACAAATAGCCTCCTTATTCGAGGTCATAAAAACTTCTGTTTCTGTGAGTTTGGCATACTGCTGCTGTAAGTACGTACAGCTTATGCTTTCAGAACAGACAACATTAAAGTTGTCTTATTTTTTCAGAATGTTGGACTTCTGCTAGAATCCTTAAATGTATCTCTAACTAGCTAATATAATTTTTGCCTTTTTATACATCTATGGATTCTTAACTGATATTTTTCTTTGTAGACATTTATCAGCCTGTGGTTGGGCAGTCAGCAATAGTTGATAAACAGTTCTTGAAACTCCAGCAAGCTATTGGAAAAGAAATTGACTATCAAGAAGAGCTACTAGAAGTTTTGGGAATGATGGATACACTGTTTGCTACTTTTACTAAGAAAAGAGATACCTGTCTAGAAGAGAACAAAAGTAATGGTGTCACGGAGATCATTGAAACAAATAGGAATTACTGACACCCATCTCAACAAATTGTCACAATTGTGAACTTGAAAGACATGACTTGTTCTCCCGGTAATTTCTTATAATAGTGACTTTCAAAATAAGCCTCTCTATGTTGAAGTTCTGTCTTTTAAACTGTGTTACTGAATAGGCTTGATTACTGAAGATGAGAAAGAGGACGTTTTCAAGATTGTTCATGCAATATTTTTCAGACAATTTAGTTTTAAAGTTTTATTTCAGAGTGTGCTGGTTTAGGGCAAATTTGTTAAAGAATCTGCAAAGGAAGGCCCCTCCAGAAAGCGAAACCCACACGGCCCCTCCCCCCAGCCGGTTTGGGAAAAAATTCCTCAGAGAGAGGTGGAAAGAACCTGTTTATTTGACTGGCCCCGCACCCCCCAGCACACAAAATGAACAATACCCGATGACACCGCTTTGAGAAAGATGGCAAAATCAGAAAGTCTCTTTCGGGGGTGGTTGCTCTGTTCTCAGTCCCTCCGGTGCTGGGCCAGCCGCTGCAG